GATAGATAGATAGATAGATAGATAGATAGATAGATAGATAGATACCCAGATCGATAGATAGATAGATAGATAGATAGATAGATAGATAGATAGATAGATACCCAGATCGATAGATAGATAGATAGATAGATAGATAGATAGATAGATAGATACCCAGATCGATAGATAGATAGATAGATAGATAGATGATATATAGATTTTAAACATATCAGTAAGGATTTCTCTGTGGGTTGCTGTGGTTTACCCTCATCTTAACCCTGATTCAATCCCTTTGCTAACAGGATCACTCTCTGCATTAAATACATCACTGCCAGAATAATGAACAAACATGGTCAGTTGTTGAGAGCCACTAGTGACATAAACCAGACTCCTTTAAAGCATAAACACAGGAAATGTTTACATGCATGAGTGTCCACCAAGACCCTAGAAACGGTTGTCCTGAACACACATTTCAGTTTGGATGGTCGTCATTTATTCTCATATAATCAATAATATTATGTTAGCTTGCTGCTGGACTCGCATTAGGACCGTCATGTTTGAACAAAGGTACGGTGAGCCCTTTGGTTTTCACATTTATCTGCGGTAACAGTGACCTCTCGCCCTCTGACCTTAACAGCTTTATTTGATCTGGATCGCTGTTTTCTAGGGTCTCCTGGTGGATAAAGTGATTAATGAGGGATGTAGATTGCAGATGCAATGCCAGTAAATCAAGTTTACAAATGGAATTTCTGTCTTTATTCTGTATTCACTGTAGCAGCCTTACATCAAGACTGAGTGTAAGTGTGAGACTTCCTTTGGCTGGATGAATTAGACTGTGAAGTTTAATATATAGTGTTAGGAGGTTGTTTAAATAAAAAAATCAGCAATAGAAATAGTGATGCTTGACCATGCAAGCACCATTAACATGCAAGTTCAAGTCTCGTGTGATTTCCTGACCCCTTTCCCTCCTGTCCTAATTGTTTCCTGTCTGCTCTCTCAACGTACCTGTCAATAAAGTGTCAAAAGGCAATAGTAATATGTCTTTAGGGATGCCTAACAAACTGAAAATGTTTGAAGACGTTTTAATTAAATCAATATGTTAATGTTAGGTTCGTAATATTTGGATTATTGACATTTGTCTGATATTCGTAGAGGAAGAGTCAGCTGTAATCTGTCAACACATCAATATCGACTTCCATTGTTGTCTTTATACTGCAGTCCAAAATCCAGTGACAGATCAGTGAGACAAACCCTTAAGTGCATCCAAATTAATGCAGTAAATACATCTGTATATCTGGTCACAGAGGACATTAGCTTCAATAATGCTATCAGAGCGTCATTAGATCTGTTATGAAAGCTAAGGACAACAGCATCATTCTCCTGAGACCAGCGCTCCACACGGCCAATCACATTACGTTTTTTTATTTAGCGTGGTTCATCCATTTAAATCTGAATTATTATTTTTCCTTCAATGATAAAAATGCATTTAAAAAATACTAACATTCAAGGCATGAACATGAACATTAACTCTATCTATCTATCTATCTATCTATCTATCTGTCTGTCTGTCTGTCTGTCTGTCTATCTGAATTATACAAGACTGTACACAAAAACATTCACATACAACTCCTCAATATTAAATGTTAATTGGCATAGAATATTTCAGGCCTCTGGGTTTTCCTATGACTAATAGTTTCATCTTTGCACACACTGACCAGAAAGTCAAACTGTTTTCCGGACGTCATCTCACACGTATGAACATCATGCTGTTCCTTACCGGTTGCCTGTGTATTGCATATGCTCTTGACTCGGATATGACAGCTCTCAATCATTGGTGAAATATTTTTCTCTACACAGCTCTGTCGTATCGTTCTTCATTCGATATTGCCAATCTAGCTAAAGTAGCTAAAGTTTAGCAGTGCATGCAGTGGAAAGACTTGGGTTCAGTCATACACAGAAACAATTTGAAGGACTGAAAATCAGTCCTGAGGTGACGCTTGCCATATGTGTGAGAGGGAGGAGTTTTATTGAAAAATAATCGAGTGAGATGACAACACTGGAGATACATTCATCCAGTCGCACACTATCTAGTGCACATTAAGAATCCCTGTGAGTCTACAGAGGAAGCATGCAACTCCTATTCTGACTCTATTGAATTCATATTGATCTCAGCACATCCATCTCTACTGTGTCAGAGTTTATGGGAAATAAAATGTCTGAAATTTACTACCACCTCAGAACCTCTATATAGTGGTTTCACTTGAACAGAATCTATTCCTCTATTGATTGCACAACAAATATACATATACAGATATGAGTCACTTATACACAGCATGCATGATGCTTGCATCAATTGCCAAGCAATTTTTGTAAAATTGATTTTCCAATCATATATCACTTATCCAATCATATATCACAAATTCACCTTATTGTGACCTGCAGCCTTAAAGAGCTAATAGAAAAGTTGAATTAATAATCTGTGGCTTCGGGTTTTAGTGTGGTTGTTACTAGTTTATAACACTGATATGCAATTAATTTGTTCGTAATAAAGATTGACAACTATTGCAATAAATGTATTAAATATAGTTGCAGAACTAGTATTTAATGTCTGTCTTATATTCCTTTATAAATAGAAAGATAAGAGCACTGGCCACCAAGAAAGAAAATGTAAAGAAAATGTATAGGATATCAGTCCTATAAAAAAATTAGATTTTCAATGCTGCCACTTTTTTGAAGAAAAGGCATACAAAAATCTGTGGTTTAGGCTTTGTGGACATTCACCCTGGAAATATCATGTTTTTGGACACATACACGACAATACTATGGTGTGATGTTCAGTCCCATGGTAATTATATCAAACAACCATATTATTATCATCACTTTACCTTGAACACCGCCAGTACGACATGCGCGCGCCGCGTACTTCCAGAACGCAGCTCTCTGATTGGTCAGACGCTCGGAAGTGCGTCACGGGATAGCAACATGTCCGCGTTCATTTGAAACAGTGTAGTGTTCACTGCATACTTTGATGTGTTTGTATGTTGGGCTCAACGAGCAGGCGATTGCAGAGGGAGAGACATCTGTCAAAGGGAAGGACCGCACTCCAGGACCGGAAGCTCGACTATTTGTTATTAGCAGGTAATTATTTGAGCGGATGTTGTTAGCAGTAGCGCCGCTGCTAATGCTGACAGGATGACAGACTCACTGCAATATAAAAAGTTGTGTGTTTTACCTCAAACTGTGTAAATGTTGTTATTCGTTACAAGTGATAACAAAATCTAAGAGTTCTTGTGCAGTGTAATACATGCTTTTATTAAAGTATTTCCCATCAATCAATTAAGTGACGAATTAATAGCTTATCATAACAAATATAACTGTCACTGATACATGATACTGGATGAAATCGCTAGTAAATTATGTATTTTCGTCTGCAGCTGATGAACCGTTGCTTTGTGTGGTAATTTTAGCGAAAAAAGTATAAAGTGGACAGTTGAGGTGCATGAAGAATGCTTATAGATTGAGGACGCATAGAAATAAAGATTAATATGTGTGTGAAGATGAGGATGGATGGACAGTGAGAGGGGACGTCTGGTTTAAACAGAGAAAGAAAGACATGGATACAAATATTATATAACAATATTTTATATAATATATTAAAAGTTTACCTTGAAGTTATATCAGCTAAAAATAATAAGTAAAAATCAATAAAAATATATATGTACATATTTAAATAAAACAAAATCTAGCCAAAACGACAAAAACACACAAAATGACTAAAGTTTTAACTAAAATTAAAGTGAAAACAGAAAAAATATAATGTCATTCAAAATATTAGCAAAAACTATAATAGTATATCAATAATACTAAAATAATAGGTGAGTATGGTTTAAGTGAAGTGACATGTGGCCAAGTATGGTGACCCATACTAGGAATTAGTGCTCTGCATTTATCCCATCCAAAGTGCACACACACAGCAGTGAACACACACACACCGTGAACACACACCCGGAGCAGTGGGCAGCCATTTATGCTGCGGCACCCGGGGAGCAGTTGAGGGTTCGGTGCCTTGCTCAAGGGCACCTCAGTCGTGGTATTGAAGGTGGGAGAGAGCGCTGTACATTCCCCCCCCCCCCCTACAACCCCTGCCGGTACGAGACTCGAACCCGCAACCCACTTTGGGTTACGAGTCCGACTCTCTAACCATTAGGCCACGACTTCCCCCTGAACATTGAGGCATATTTTGTGAAAAAAGCAATGTCAAAAAATATGGACAGACTAACAAATGCTCCAAAAGTGCCTGTGAAAAGGTTTGTGAGACATGTTGTATATATGATATTTAATAATGTATATGATAAAAAGGGACTCATAATTAATGCAGACATATTGCTGCCATACTGAAGGTGGCATAAATGTCAATGCATAACACAATGGTTTGTCTGTAAATATGTGTTTGTGTTTCACAGAAATAATGCTGATATTGGGAACTCATGTCGCACGTCTATGAAGAGAGAGCCACAATGATAGCCGCAGGCGAATTGCAGTCGTTTGTCCCGTTCGGTCGTGAGCACTGCAAAAATCACCCGAATGCCGTGAATCTCCAGCTGCGGCAGCTCCAGCCGGCCTCTGAGCTCTGGTCCTCTGACGGGGCGGCTGGACTCGTGGGATCCCTTCAGGAGGTCACTCTACAGGAGCGCGAGAAGGTCGTTTGTTTTTGACTTTGTTTCTACTGTGGAACACAAAAGGAGATGTTTAGCAGTCTGTTCGCACTGCTCTTCCCCTTTAAAGGGGTCATAGGATGCTACATGCACTTTTACAAGTTGTTTGAACTGAAATGTGTGTTGGCAGTGTGTGTACACAACCACCTTATAATGATAAAAATCCCACCAGTGTTTTTTTTTTAATCTACTAAAATCTTTACCCCTTTCTCAAATAGTGTGAATATGGTCGTGAATGATTTGAATCTCTTTATCAGGGAACCTCTCCCGACTTTGTTCAGCATGCTGCATCCGTTAGATGAAATCGCTCCTGTTGTTTGTAAGTCCACCGGTAAGACTTGATAATTCTGCACATTTTCAGTGTCATTTTGTTTGATCTATATACTGTTCTAATATTTATTAATATTTTAAATTGGCTTTTATTTTTGCTTTTTCCGTTTTCATTTTAATTTTAGATAATTTTTTTGTGATTTATTTGTGCTTTTTTGCTTTTATTTATTTATTTTTTATTGTTTTTGTTTAGCTTTTATTATTATTTTGGTTTCTGTTTTTAGTGATTTTAGTACTTCAACTAAAACTTATTTTATTTCAGTTAGTTGCCTAGACAACATTTCAAAATTTAGTTTAAGTTTTTCTTCCTGTGCTTTTATATAAAAATTTTTGTTTAGCTGTATTTTACTTAACGAAAATGTTTTTTTTTTCTTTAGTTGTTTTGTAATATTTAACAATAACAGTACTTTACCTTAGGAAGGAAAGTTTAAGATTAGCAACATTATTAAGTAAGCATTTGTATATCTGAGGTAAATTATGGTTGTGCAATCAGTAATTATTTTTAATTATGGCATACAGTTTCATGGTCGTGCATTTACATTCTCCATGGTCTTCTGTCCTGGAACTCCATCCAGAAATATTTTTTTTTTCAGTGGCCATGAAACTATATTTAGTATTTTTTAAAGTGACTATTTCATTGTGTCGTTTGCAGCATCATATTCAAGATGAGTCAGTCTCTGTAAAAATCTGCACCTCTGACAAAAACATGACAACCCCTTGTGATTTTTTTTCCCCTAATATATTTGTTTTGGTGGCTTAATGTGAGAAATATTTCATAATGTGTCACCACATACAAAACCTCCTAAATAAACCTATGATGGTCCCAGATAAACCGATGTTTTCTTTAGTAGAAGGACTGTATTTTAGTACTTCAACTAAAACTTATTTTATTTCAGTTAGTTGCCTAGACAACATTTCAAAATTTAGCTTAAGTTTTTCTTCCTGTGCTTTTATATTTAAATTTTTTTTTAGCTTTATTTTACTTAACGAAAATGTTTTTTTTTTCTTTAGTTGTTTTGTAATATTTAACAATAACAGTACTTTACTTTAGGAAGGAAAGTTTAAGGTTATCAACATTATTAAGTAAGCATTTGTATATCTGAGGTAAATTATGGTTGTGCAATCAGTAATTATTTTTAATTATGGCATACAGTTTCATGGTCGTGCGCTTACATTCTCCATGGTCTTCTGTCCTGGAACTCCATCCAGAAATATATATTTTTTTCAGTGGCCATGAAACTATATTTAGTATTTTTTAAAGTGACTATTTCATTGTGTCGTTTGCAGCATCATATTCAAAATGAGTCAGTCTCTGTAAAAATCTGCACCTCTGACAAAAACATGACAATTGTGATTTTTTTCCCCTAATATATTTGTTTTGGTGGCTTAATGTGAGAAATATTTCATAATGTGTCACCACATACCAAACCTCCTAAATAAACCTATGATGGTCCCAGATAAACCGATGTTTTCTTTAGTAGAAGGACCGTATTTTTTTTATTTGATTCGCTCATGTTGTTTGCGTCAGTAAGAGTCAGACTGACGTTCATGTAATTCAATTTAAACCATGTATTATTTCCTAATAAAGCTACTGGCCAACTTGGTCGTAAAGTTTTCTTATTGACTTACCAAAACCATACATTTGGCACTTGGAAAATGTTAGTCTTGGACATTGGGGAAAACCGTTGAATTAACTTTATAATAATGACTTGGATGCGTTGTGGATCTCTGGACTTTTGACCTTAGAATGTGTCATATGTTAATGCTCTTGTTGTTCCCACTCATTGGTCCAGGTCTGTTTGAGTCCCGTCTCCAGTACGTTTCAGACAGCGCTCTGAGAGTAGTGTACACCTGCCACGAGCCCTCCATTATCATGACGTACGACACACAGCAGTGCACACACACTGTCTGGACCCTGCGCAAAGTCACACCTGAGGTATGTTTGCATCACTCCGACATTATGATATACATTTTCTATTCATCAAAGAATTCTGAAAAAAACAATTAACGGTAATCACTGTTTCCACAAAGATATTAAGTAATTCTTTTCAACATTGGTAATAAGAAATGTTTCTTGAGCAGCAAATCAACATATTAAAATGATTTCTGAAAAATCATGTGACACTGAAGACTAATGATGCTGAAAATTTTAGTTTTGCATCACATAAATAAATGACATTTTAAAATATAATCAAATAGGAAACGATTATTTTAAATTCCAATAAATTTTCACAAATTAACATTAGTGACGTTAGGCCTTGGTGAACATTAGAGACTTCTTTCATTAAAATATCTTTTGTAAGATGTGTCAATATTTAATTTGTCATTTGCAAATATTAAAAAAATATATGAATTCATATATAAATTATAAACACATTTTTGTCTAAATGTGCTCTTTGGTTTCTCTTTGACTTGCCTTACTAAGTCGGGCTCACTCGCCTGGCATCGCAGCGCCCTCTTTCTCCGGAGCTCAGCGCTTCAACATGTCCTGCCATACGCCGTCCCCACGCGGCCACAGCATCCTGGCCTCACCCAACAGCACACTGAACGAAACAGCCCTGCTACCTGAGATGGAGCCCATTCTACCAGACCTCTGCATTGAGCAGCTGTGGACAGAAACCAGCGCTATCTCCAGGTGCACTGAGCCTCATGAGTTTCGATATCCTGTGTTTATGAGCCGAGAGCATGAAGTTACTGTTGATGTTTGTCCTGAAATCAGTGTTGTGTCTGTGTTGTGCAGGGAGAAAGGCTGCCAGGCCGCTAAAATCTTCATCACCTCTGACCTGTGTGAGAACAGGTACCTGTGCTTCCTGGTCGAGTCCCACCAGCAGCTCAGGTGAATGTGTGGCTTATTATTTTGTAGTTTCACTTCTACATCACTTCTACATAGGATAGATCACTTTGCTTTCTTAGTATTTAACTATTTTAAAGCTCTTGCGCTTAGTCGCATCTCTTTTGTGTCCTGTTTGCAGGTGTGTAAAATTCCTTGAGAGCAATGAAACTTCTCAACTGATATTTGCATCAGTGACCGTTATCACCGCAAAAGATGCGGCCCCTCTTGAGGTGAGTTTTTGAATTTGTCAAATATATCTTTATGAGAGGAAACATGTAAAACATTTTGTCACCGTGATGTGTCTTGAATGTTGCAAAGTAACTGTTTTTCTATTTTATCTTTACTGTTGTTAAAGTCACGATAAACTGAAGTAGTGACAGATCTTTTCTTCGGCATTGTGATGTACATCAGAGTGAAACAGATTATTGAAAAGAAGATAAATGTAAGTTGCAGAATGTTAGGCTTGCCGCGATAGACGGTGCTGACGGTGATACCGTTGTTAAGCCGCAACACCGGTTACGTCACTTGCCCACCGCGTCACCGACCCCCACCGTCGTTTTGATTTTTTATAGTAATAAAAATAATTTAGTTCAGTAAAAGAACAGACACTACAATTAAAAACTGAACGCGGCTGCTCAATGCAG